GTACTATTAGTGTATATATTTATAATTATTATTTTTCTCTACTGGTATTTAAGTCTTGTAGTGAGGTATACAGTATACTAGAAGTTATTAATATGGTAGATAATTATAGCTGATAATACTTATATTAACTGGTATTTAATATATTAAATCCTAGAATCACTTTCCTGTTCCTATTAGCTTAGCTTTATTAATATATATATTATTAAACTAGATCAAGATAGTATCAGACTAATAATTTATCTAAGATACTAGTCCTAAATGAGAAAAAAGAAGTAAGGCCAGATAATATTATATAGTTATCTATAAATAAATATAGATAAGTATTATATTACTAAGCTTCTAAAAGTAGATTATTTAAAGATAAGTAGATTGAGCATGAAGAATAGAACTAACTAAATATATAAATAAATATTCTTATATATTCTATTCTCTGTATACTAAGTAATATATCTTTCTATATACTGTATACTATATACTATATACCTGTCTGTGTATTATCCTATATATCTATAATTATATGACATGTGGCCGTTCCGGGTATTGTAAGAGTAATCTAGAATTCTTCTTAATAAGAGTTTCTATTTACTCGAGCACTGTCTTTATCGGTGCTTTCTGCCTAACGAGTCCGCCTTACTAGCAGGTTAACTAGCAGGGGTCTGTAACAAAGATCTGGAATACTTATTATTAATAAAACAGTAAAAAAAAGATAGTATTTCAAAAATTAATTAATAATAATAAGAATAGTATTAACAGTTTTATTATATTAAATAATTAGAGATAGTCCTATAATAAAATCTATTACTAATTTATTAAAAGAATAAGATAGAATCAGTAAGGATTCAAGAATACTATATAATTAATATTTTAAAGTAATATTATCTTGATATATTAAATAAATTTAAATATATTTAATTATATCATAATATAATCTATTCTAATAGAACTTTCTATATAATAGTATTTTTATTCTTATCTTTCTGAAGTATCCTGCTAGTAAGTTATTATAATATAAATAAATAAGTATTTAATATAATATCTCAGAGAAAGAAATATAGTAACAGTCTTTAAAATATAAATAATCTATAGTTTTCACTATCTAGTACTTTTAATCTAGTTATCTTTATTAAATAATAATTTTTCATTATTATATCTCTAGATTTTCATTCTGTAGATATAAGATTATTTTTTAAAATTCAGAATTATATATATCCGAGTACAGAATTTCTGCAGTATATACTTATAATACTATAAAATAAAAAATAAATCTTTTTTAAAACAAGTTTTTTTAAGCAGTCTAGTTAGCTGTCTCTATACTGACTTAACTATTAAAATTCTTTAAACTTAATATAATATAAATATTAAATCCAGAATAACCCTGCATATCTTAAGATTTAAACTAGAATTTCTTTTTAATTAAATTTTTTATTATCAGAAATAACACACCTATAAACTACTCTTAGATTAAGATTAATAATTCTTCTTATAAAATAAATTTTATCCAAGACTCTGAAGGCATTCTAGAGAATTTATTTATTAAATTTAATTTTTCTATTTTATATTTAATAATAAAATTATAAAAGATTAGATTTATAAACTATCAGACTTATCTTCTATTAACTCTAGTTTAATATATAAAAGATTATAAGTTTAAATAATTAAATAAGACTTTAATAATTTAAAAAACACTTTCAAGATATTATTATTACTATTTAAAGAAGTAAATAATAATAAATAATTCTTAATTTAAAATATTATAATTTAGCTCAGTGCCAGAGAACTTATAAAACTAAAAGATAATTAAATAAAATATATTCTTATTATTAAATTAAGATAAAATATTATTTATTTCTTTCTTTAATATATTAGTTTTTAAATACTAGGTTTTCATAGAATTAAAGTACATCAGTAAAGATGCTTACTAAAAAATAATAATTAAATAATAAAAATAAGTTATTTATATAAATTTAAATAGATTTTTCTAGGTTTTTAACTGTTAACTACTCCATAAAGTAAGAAAATAAATAATAAGATAATTTAAGAATAATCCTGAATTAATTAGTAGTAGAAGTTATAGAATCCCAGAAAAATCTAGATATTATAATAACTTTCAGAGATTAATTATAAAATAATATTATTTATTTATTAAGGATCCATGGATACTCCAGTAGTATTAATAATATATTTTAGAAATTTAACTTAAGATTAGTAAAATAAATACTTAGATAACTTTATATAAAGTTAAGCTTCTTAAAATCTCTCTAATATTTAACAGATATACTTTATATGGGATTCCCTATCTAATAAGAAGATAAGAATATTATTAAAATATATTATATAAGAATTATTGAGAAGCTTATAAAATATTATATATATATAATTTTAAAAGATTACAGAGATATTAATTAGCTTGAATAATATAATAGTATATTTAAAATAGCTATATCAGATATAAAATATTATCTTTTATTTATTATCTTTTTTAATACAGATTTAATAATAAGTATTCTTAATATTAATTTTTAAAAAATATTTACTATCTAAGACCCTGTTAAGAATTTTTAAAATAAAAGATAAAAAATAATAATTTTTTATTAAAATCTTATTAAGATTCTTGTAATTTATATAAAGATATAAATTATTATTCTTTTTTAGTATAAAAAAAATAAAGACCCCTATAAGACTTTTAAAAGATTAAATTTAATCTAATTTCAAGTTCTTATTAATATATTCTTATAAGATCTTGAATTCAGCTTCTGATAAGAAATATATAAGTCTATAAAAAATATCTTATTAAATTTAATATTAATAGTATAATCTGCAGGGCCATGAAAGAGAAATTATTAAAAAAAATTTATAAAAAATATATCTCAGAATTCCTGAAGTTTAATTAAAATTATTTTTAAATTTAAAAATAAATTATAAAGCCTTTCCTCTGGAAGCTAAATATCTTTAAAAAGTTTAATAATAATATATACTCTTATAGAGTTTCAGATTACTTTATTAAATTAAATAATAGAAAAAAGAAAAATAAACAGTATATTAAATTATTATTATTAATTCTATACTAATAAATTAATACAGAGATCCTGAAATATAGTTATTAATAATAGAATTAAACTGCCATGCAGGCAGGGATCTTAATTAATTCTTATATAATATTATTTAAAGATACAGGTGCTCTCTCATGAATTAATAGTAATAATAAAAACTTTCTATATTCTATAGATAAAAGTAGTAACTTAGTTAATAGCTTTAATTCTAGATATAATAACTAAAATATATTAAAGATTATAAGTCTTAGTAAATTAATAACTGATAATATCTACTTTTATATAACTATCTAGGTCTGTAAAGGTTTCAAGACTATTTTAAATATAAATAAAAATATAGAAATAATAAGTAGTCTTTACTTCAGATAAAAAAATTAAAATTATAAAGTCTATTTTAACTTCTCTACTTTTCTCTTAAAATCTAATAAATATTAGTAGATTCTAACAGATTAAATCTTTTTATCTTCAATAAAATATCAGTTTATAAGATACTAGATATTATTATATATAAAATATTATAATTAATTATTATTCTTTCTAATAGAATTCTTCTTATGATTCAATATATCTTCTTTAGTTAATTAATTAAAGTAGCTTTAGAAATACTTATATAATTTATAATTATTAAATTAATTATTATTTTACTTATATTTCTCTTTATTACTCTATAATTCATAGTAATAAATAGTAATAGTTACTATTTTATTTTATTTCTCTGGTAGATAGGAGACATGCTCTTATATATAATAATTAAAATTAAATAATAACTTAGTAAAGTAGAATAAGACTCTTTTTTTCTTAATTTAATAAAGAAAATATTATTCTAAGATATTAAGTTAAGCATAAAACTCTCTCAGATCTTGATTATATTACTAGTAAATTTATTTAAATTAAACCATAATATCTAATTAAAAAGTAGTAGTATTCTGAATTAAGATAAAAATCTAATTCTTAAATTAAGACTATAATTTCTTAAGAAATTATCTTATTTCCAGACTTTTATTATTAATAAAATAGTACTATCTCTGTTTATATACCAGATCTATATAGCTAATAATAATAAGAATCTTGTATTTTTTTAATAAGGACTTCTTAAGAGTTTTTTAAAATATATATTCTAGATTAGTAATCCATTCTTAGTATTTCTGGAGATTAAAGTTTAAAGTAAAATAAAAAATATCTTTAAATTTAATCTTTTTTTTATCTCTTTCAGATTTAGAAAAGGATTAATAGTACCTAGAGAATATTTCACCCGGGGAATTATATCTCTAAAAATAAGTTATTCTTTTTTATAGATTAACAGCTTATTCTAATTAATAGACATAATCTTCTAACTATTAGATTTCTTCAGTAATAAGGACTATATTTAATAATAATTTAAGATTAATATAATTATTAAATATCTTCCTTTCTTTATTATCTTCAAGAGATAGCATTTTCCTTAGATAATTAAAATAAGAAGAATCAGAATATAATAAAATCTACTTGTCAGAATAAAAAGCCTGTTAACTAGATAAGAAATCTATTATAAAATATAATAGATTAGTTTAATAATCAACAAAGATAGTTTATATCCATGAGATAGACTGATCCTTGAGAAATCAGTAACTTATTATAAAGGAATCAGCATCTTATAGATGTCGGGAAGATATAGAACCTCTATTAATAATCTTATAACTCTTATAACCATTGTAATACATCATTCCGATGCCCAAGGCCCCGATAGCTAGGTTATTCTATCACAAACAACTAGTTGAATATATTTTACTCAATATATCTAAACTGTGATATTAAATACAGGAAGAGAAAGCAAGAAATTTAAAAGTGTATATATACTTAATAAAGATAAGTAAATACATTTATATTATATCTCTAAGTCACATGGAACAAAGCAAACAAAACTACATCACGTGCCAAAGTCACAAGGCTCACCATTATAAATGGTATATAATCAAACAGTTTTTATATTTAAACTTCATATTAGTTACATGACCTGCTGGGTTTACAACCAACTGGCTATCCTACTCTAATAACAGTATTTAACCTGACCTGGCCTGAGTATTAACCACTCTACCCCCAATGTCCCAGGCTCTAAGCTTTGATCTGTAAAGTGGATATATATCCATCATTTACCCCCTGGTAATTCGGTCGGTGATAACTGAGATGCCGATACCTCATGAGGATAACTTTGATGATAATTTGGAACAATCCCTTGCTGTAGTATTGGTTGCAGTAACGGTCCAGCAGTACCCTCATGATTTGTGGCCTGCAGCCATTTGCGCTGCGTTATCTTCCTTCCCCAGAGGAATCCGGCCCCTAGCATGGCACCCGCTATAGCGGTCAAAGGAATGGCAACACCAAGGCCAATTGCGAGCTTAGTGGACTCATCTGATGAACCAGAATTTGTACCGTTCACTTCTGCTGAGCTCGTCGCTGTAACAGTGGTTGTAGCTACACCTCCGATCGTGACAAGAGTATCTTTGATGGAAAAGACACTGTCTCCGCTGCAACATGAGGGATCATCACCACAACAGTAATCAACACCACCGCAGGGTGTCATGTAGTATGTCCAACTTGAATTTCCCCCTGCCTATAGAAGAAACAAAACTTAGATAGTGCACACACAGACAAGAATTTAAAGATCCTCAACGCACCGTAGTGTTGCAGATTGACTTTGATAGGCAATTCGGGGTATCCCATGTCTCATCAGTACAGAAGTCTCTCCAATATCCTGCGTACCCCGTCATGTTTGTGTAACAAAGGCCATCGGCACGGCATTCATCGGGGTTTGTGTCATTAATCCGGCAGCACATCGACTCTACCCCTTCAATCGCAATACATGGAGCATATATGTCGTCCTCAACTGGGGTTCCGTCAGGGGCATAACAGGACTTTGCGGCTGATTTGCCAAATTTTGCGAAGAAAACGCCCAGCGTGATGAGCATCATATTGAGAGGTCTTCTTTCCTTTTCTTCTTTGTTGTTCTGATTTTCTTTTCAAATAGGGAGATCAGGCTGTTCACAATATTTAGCAGGATCTCCAAAACTTGGGAGAGCGAGGCTATAAAATAGAAGAACTAAGAACTGCAAGGCGCGACCAGAGCCTCGCTTTCTCTAGCGGGGTTTTTGGTTGGCTTGCATAAAGCCAATGACCACTTATGTTTGCTGGGTGGCGCAGCACACGCATCATACTGGTCGGCCCCCTTGTCGCGGCCTTTACTACTTGAAAGAGTTAGTTTCGCAGTCAGATATATCAGCAATAGTTCCAAACGTTAATAAATGGGGTGGGGCAATCTATAAGGATCGGTCGTAAAATTCGGCGAGGAACGCCCGGAGAATGCTGGTATGCTTGTTATGATGAGTTGAATTAGCGGCGCTATGCCATTGGATATGTAAGGTTTCAAGTTTCGCATCGCCGAATCGTTTTTACGAGTATTTATTTCCGCTTGCCCCTCTTGACCGTGGGTGAGAGTCCAATGGCGCTTGGGCAGGCATGACCGCCGGAATACCAGGGAGGCCGCGGAGGTTTTCACAAGTCGTAGGCAGCATGGGTTCATGCCACAACCCGCGGAGAGTTTCTGCGATTCTTAGTGCATCAGCGCTTAAAGATTAAAACACTTTCTACCCCACACTGCAATAATTAGTGACTGCCTACTAAACCCCTAACCGCCAAATTTGCAGGTTCGTGCACTCCCTTATATCCCTCGACTCCCATATCTTTCACCGGAAAATTTAATCTACTTTCCTCGTCCCCTTCCAGCCCATTCAGAGCCCGAGCTAGGTCGAGAGTAGTTGTCTTCTCAAGAACTTGGTATGCCTTCGGAGATTCCTTAAGAATATATAGGCTTGTGTCGGTAACGCATCAATCTACCAATTCAGTTTACCTGTGACGTATGTCATGGCTGGTGGCTTCGGACGGCTGGGTTGTAGTATGTGGCGATGAATAGCGAGTTGAAGGACACAATATATCCTGGTTATATCGCGTTAAGAGACCCGGCCAGTTCGCGCGGCAGCTGGCTGTAGAGCTCTGTGCCTTAGATAATACTGCGGTGGAGCCTACATGCAATATTACCCTGCCAGACACGCTCGGCAATGTGCTGAAGGGATATGCCTACAAACTACCACGTATTCGAGAGTGCATCCAATGCACCATGGCCCTGAGGATAAGGGACGATTCCTATCCCAACAATCCTTTTCACGTACATAAAAAAGTCGCTCAAAATTTCCCCTAGGATGCCTCATCTACTATCATCGTACGGCCTTTATTATTAGCCCGCGGGCCAAATTTTTCGGCTCGTGAAACCTGCACTCGCCAGGCTTAACACCACCCAACTTACGCTGCAATTTTCCGCCTGCTGATTGGCCTATTTTTGATATCCCGCCGTGCTCTCGCCGCCCCGCGTGCGTGGCCCAAAGCGGGCCCTTTCTCCTGCCCTCGCCCTCCTCAGCTTTACTCTAGTGCTAAACCTATTTGCAAGAGCCTTGCAGTCTGCCTTACATTACATATCTAGCGATATACATACGTTTTGCGTCGCGATAACTGGACAAGAAATCTGGATTTGTAGTTCACCTTGCTGTCAGTTTGTAGTGCCGCCGATAGGTCTCGCTCGCCATCTTTAGCGATGACATCCCGATCATTCAAATGCAGCTACACAAGCCCAACGTTAGGCAATCTTGGTAGCTATGCTCAGGCGCGCCTGGGTCGACAGCAGAGCTTTCATCCAGCGCAAAACAGCCAGCCAATCCCCGGCTTGCCTCTGTACTGCGGCTATGGCGGCCCGCACTGTGATCACGCATTGAGAGAATTGCTTTACATGGATGCGGCAAGACAGGGTGCCATGTCATTACAGGTACACAGACCACGGATGACCCATACTATCAGCCGCAGCTGAACCTTAGAAGCCCCGCACAGGCGCTCATTCCGGCAGGCAATAATGACCCTAACCGTGTCAACATACTCCACTATCCTATCTGTCGTCAGTAGATGTTCCCAACTCCGTATGTTGAAAGTCATGTGTGAAATGCCAATAGATAAGATCGCTTTTCCATTACCAGAAAATTAGTATCTGAGCAATTATATATAGCTTACAACAGTCCCAATCTGCTGCTCCAAGAATAATCATCAAGGTGTTGATCGTTCTCAACATGAAAAAGCAATTGTGTTGAATCACTGGTTGACTAATTGTTTGGCTGTGCAAAGTAACAAAAATGTCTGACTAGGCAAATCTCTCGGCCACTCTCACGTGTGTATGTCGCAAATATTTCGACCACGGTCAGTCAACAACATTTACGTTAAATATCATTGAATTGGAGAGTCAGCCAGGCGGTTTGATCCTTGCGACCAAAGAGGCCGTGTCGGTTGTTTCATTATCTGAAGATTCTAATGCTTCGAGAAAAATCCAAGATGCCGAAAATGGCCCTCTGTGCTCTACTATCTAGCGCTCACAACGTCAGTGTACAATTTTACCAGGCATCAAAATTCAGCACTGGGTCTTCTTTATATACAGAGTAGTCGATTAGCCCTTTTTCCTACTTTTTTAATGAGGGGTTTAAGCTTTTCTGGGTTTCATACAGGCCTAATTGTAATGAAGGTTGATGGCGAACAGACATTATCGTAGCATAGTAGCCTTAGTAGAAGGAAGCGAGATCAGTGATTGGTAGGTAGCCCCGCACCTTTTCCGTCTGCCAGGACAGACGGAATATACGCCTAAAGACTTATCCGCGGAAACCTCGGATCTAAAAGAAATACTACTGGAATACGCACAGGTACATACTATGGGTTCGTCGCGCATAATATCCCAGCGGCTCATGAGTTGCGCCACTTGACGACTCCGTACCACGCTCGTCATAGGAAATACCTTTGGTCATGTCTCCTTGGATTCGATATTACTCTTTTTGAACAGCTGAAGATCTCTAGTTCTCTAAGAGTGCTAAGCCTTTCTATATTAGCTCGCCGGCTCTCTGCTCTTAAGTTTGGTGCTTCATTAGACCCCCTGGTAAGGTATGGGGATTGTCGGCCATATAGAAATAGATAGCAGCACGCAGGTTAACAAAGACGATACACGGCTACTGGAGCCTTGCCATGCATGTTAATAACCGGACTCCGGCACAATCTAGTATTCTGGGCTCTTCAATGTGCTTTACTATCGGAAGTAATGGGCCTCAGACCAGGAGAGCGAAATAACATCAATTCTCCAGCAGTGTCGGACCTCCAGTCAAACAATTTATTCCTTCTAGTTTTTGCAGGATAAATAGTGATTATGTCACTGATAGTATACGCTGATACACTCAGTCTGAGATCTAGCTTTGAGATATAGTATTACCAAGGTAAAAAACAATGATGATATTGTGCCTGCGGCCTCAGAGATGAGATGATAATAATGCTGTTAAAACGTCATACTTTTTTGTAGGGTCGAGGACAGTCAATATGACAATTATGTATTCATGTTCCGCCTAAATATTTTTCTTCTGCATTTCTACAATTGATAGTCTTCTCTATAACACCGCCTGAGCTTCGATTGTCCTCAGTGTTGAATGCATGGATTGCGCTTCATAATTCTTAAGAAACAAACCCTCAACCTACCTATTACCTGCTGTGATGGTGTCTCATCTACCTATTTAGGCCTAAGTCAAATACAATCTTTCCACTCGCATGGCCAGTCGCCAGCCTTCCAAACGCTGGCCGAAACTGCTCCAATGGCCACACGCTATCCACCCTTCCTTTACACAGTCCCGATTCAATCAACTCGCCGACCGCCCCTAGTTGAGTGCCACTTGGTTGCATTACAAAGAATATATCTTTGACACCCCTTGTGTTCGGATTCTTCCATGGACAGACGGTTCTAGGAGGCTGGAAAATACTTACTACCGTGCCTTTCTCCTTCACAGTCCACCAAGCATCCTGGAGTGCTCGTCCTCCTATACAGTCAACCACCACATCCACCAGCCTTCCGCCCTCCTCCTCTACCCAGGCCTTCAGGTCAGTAACTCGGTAATTCACTGCATCCTTGGCCCCCATCGATCGTACCAGATCGATGTTGTCGGGTCCACATGTTCCGATCACCTCGACGCCCAGCACCTTCGCTGCAAGCTGCACAACCCACAGCCCAACGCCACCAGATGCAGCCGTGACCAGTATTCTTTTGTTTTTCCATGCCGCGCGCGCTTTGGGTATATCCATCACGCCCTCAGGAGGGACTATTCCGGCGTTAACAAAGAGAATCTGCCAAGCAGTCTCGGCTGATACTGGTACAGCAGCAGCCTCGACCCAGGTCAAGCGTTTTGGCTTAAAGGCGAGCTCTTCTGTAGTCGCGATTGTAAAATCACGAGCGTTGCCAGGTCTGGCATAATTTGTACGAGCATATATCTCAGCCCCGGGTTGGAAAGGGGAATCTGGGGGCGCAGAGACAACGGTACCGGAGACATCGGGACATGGGATTAGGAGGCGATCAGTGGATGGAGGAAAATTTTTCGGCCAGGAAAGCTCTCCGGCGCAAGGGGAGCATGCCTGGACATGAATCAAGTGCTCGCCTTTCGTTGGGTTGGGGTTGGCAACTACGTCGGTTTGGAGGGTTAGATCTTCCGCATTAGATTCAGCGGTTGGCTGAATCAGAGCACGTGCGGTTTCAACAGGCATGACAAGTCCAAGGCCGTGATTGTTCTTTGTTAATTCAGATTGGGAGAAAGGGTGGATGCATATTCCAATATCACACTAGAATGGTGATCAGAGGGGTGATATATATGCGTGAAGTACGATCTCGGCCCTCGTATTCAGCAGGGGTACACCCTCAGGTTCCCGCAGCGCTTCGATCGGATTGGCTGGAACCTTCGATCCAGACGAGCGATTTCTCGTATTCAATTCCATGATGCCCGGTAGGGTAGAATTCTAGTAATGATGATGCAATATGCCTTTATTCGATCTCAACCAAATTTCTGGCTACTATTGTGCAAGATCAACAGCCAATTAGGTCGTCCTCTACGTGTGGCAATACCTCTCATATGTGACTTAGCCGTGGTAGGATAAAGGGGATATATATCAGCTATTTGAGATAACGAAATCGATACCTGTGCGAATCGGCAAGACTGTTTCCACGCCCCTTTAACGATGCCAAGACATCCATGGTCAGGCACGTAAAAAGGACGCAAAATATCCCTAAACAGCCAGGTGTCAGCCTTCCATTGTTCGCATCACTGCCTGTGCATAGCGGCTCGGTTGGAGTGACCCTTTCAACCAGCAGCTCTGCCAAGTCCCAGAAATAATACACTTAATCTTTACAAAGGAATGACATCAAGGCTACTACCATAGGTGCTCTGCAAATAGTCTTTCTATTATGTGTTGAGCTGATAAATAGCCGGTAACAACAAGGTAGTCAGTTTACATGATGGAGAATATATAGAGATATAGAAGTGCTGTTTCATCTTCTCCTCGTTGTTTGATTAGCTCCCATTTACTGGGATTGAGCAGTGTTGGAGAGTATTATCTTTATTGATTGTCCATTTGCATCCTCAGGATTTAAGATATATATTAATGGCAATAGTACTATGGCAACCAGAGTAAACCATTTTCCGGTCACTCAGACAAGTACTAATACTTGCAGTACTAAGTAGAGATGCTGATCATACCCATGACATTTTTAAAACCGCTTTTCTATTAACTGAAGGTTGGGAGAATAGAGAAGCAAGAAAGACACTTACATCTATACTTACTATCAAAAGATATTTGTACTGGAAATTGACTGGTAGATTGTAACTGGATTTAGTATCAATAAAATAGTTAGTTACAGTGCTAGCTGTTATTGCCTTCCATGTCGGGAAACATAGAGACACTCTTTCAAATCCAAACCATGTGACACGCTAATCCTGATATGGCTACCTCCGTATTTAGAAACTTTGTTTTATAATTGTATTGACATAATGCAAAGTATATGAAACACGAGTAAATAGTATAGTTATGTAGTGCTATATATCTAAAAATAATCATCCCCATCACTATGAGTTGTCCGCACGCACTGCTTCCTATAAGCTTGTTATCTGCAAACACCCAAACCATTTATAAATGGCAAGAAACATCGATTCTTGGCAATGTAAGATGATTATCCATATGATACACAGCAAGAACAGGCTCACTACATCACAAATGGCAAAGGTAGAAAAGTATAGTGAGCATTCTATTACTTACATATGTAAGAACATGCAGTTATTTGGTAGTGCCAGGTCTCCCCTAGTACCTGTCAGTTAACAACCAAGCATCACCTCTATCATGCTGGACGCTCTCTATGACCACCTCACCGAAAAGCCCGGCCTATATATAGCAGAGATGGTTATCTTCCTATAAGATAAGTTCAATATATTACCATTATCATCCAGCATTAGACATGCACTTTCCCGGGCCGGCTGGACTAAAAGGCTAGTCCAGCGGAAAGCAAAAGAACAGAATCCTGAATTACGAGATTTCTACCAGTATAAACTATCTGAGTTTCGGTTGTATCATCTTGTGTTCGTCGATGAATCTGGGTGCATTAAAAGAATGGAATATAAACAGACTAGCTAGTCACTACTCGGTATGTCACCAGTCTAAGTGTCAAAATTTCATCAAGGCCAGTACTACCAGATACTGCTAGTATATACTCAAGACAGTATTATTCTGTCTTGTATTTTCAAAGGTTCAACTGATGCAGTATTCTTTAAATCATTTATTGAACAGCTTCTACAACACTGTGGAAGGTGGCCGGAGCCAAAATCCGTGCTTATTATAGACAACACATCTTTTTATCATTCCGACCGAGTCAAACAGTTGTGTTCTGATGCGGGTATTAAACTATTATATTTGCTGTCTTACTCTCCAGATTTCAACCCCATGAAGGAGTTCTTTGCTGAGCTGAAGACTTATATTAAGAAAGCTTGGTCAGCATACGAAGAGAATCCCAACCAAGAGTTTCATGCCTTCCTCTGGCGGTGTGTTCATGATGTTGGTGCAAAACAGGAGAGCGCTGAAGGCCATTTCCGACATGCAGGTATAGTAATAGAGATTGTATAAGTGGCCGCCATAGTCGAATTCTATGTATGTATAATGAACAGCATAAGTCAGGCTGCGTAAACGTGTTCTAAACCGTGCCAGATTGGTTTACTGAGGCCCTCAAAATGATTTGGGCTTGTCGCGTAGGTAGTGGCAGGGCTGGGGTCGTCATATGCAGTGACCTATTTCGGCTCGCAGTTACTGATATCACGATAGCCAGGCGGCTAATTACGACATAGGCGGGGCCAACTTGTCAACGGCTCAGGGTAAATTCTTGCCGCTGATCTTATCTAAGATCTGAAATACAACGTGGTTCTGTACTCGGCAACAACCGAGGTCAGTCTTCTCAACTCCCGGGCATATTCTGCGTCGGAGGTCATCTTATCTATCCCTTGAGCAATGTGTCGATCAAGAAACTCCTCAGAGGCAACATATAGGGTTGTATTGAATGTATTTTGATGATAAGGTGGAGGTTCCGAAGCGAGATGGTCTGCCGTGCTCTTCTTGCATGGAGGTGAGATAGTGCACTTTGGTTGCTCTTCTGTAAATTCCTGACGTGGAATTGTGCTGGTTGGCTGTGCATTGTCATTTAACGAACGCTGCTCAACCGAGCCCTCAATAGCGACGCTAGATGTCGCCTGCTGCGACGTTGAGCGAGAGGGTTGGCAGGAGGCTACCGAGGGCGTCCCGATCGCCGCAGCTATGGCCACCTTACGATCCGCAAGTGGATTTTGGTCGGCCAACTGCAGGTAACGCTTAACTGAGGCGGCGGAAATGCCGGGAGACAAAATTCAATCCTTGATAAGATGGTTCTCCATCTCCATTTTTTGCAGGGCGATTCGATTCGATTCGCGATGTCCGTCTGCCGGGTTTCCTGCTGAATTGCACGTATTCGTTCCTCTAGCTCCCGGACGTAATCTTGTCTGCGAGCACGGCTTTTGCGCTGGTTCTCACGTACGCGAGCAAGTCAATCGGATTTCGGATAGAATTAGTTAGACTACGAAGAATCGCAGAAAATTTCCTTGAAAGCCGCATACCTGCTGCGCCTTCGCTTCTTGATCCATCGCGTCTGGGCACTACAATGATGAGAACCCATAGAGTGAATTCATTTCTGGTCGTGGTGAATCAGAGCCAAAACAACGTTCTGACTGGCAGAGTGTGGGGAGCGATTGGACCGATGCTATTCAGGTATAGAACGGGTTGAGAGGAGTCGTCCTTTCCGGGGCTGAGCGTACGCGGAACAGAACGGGGCTCCCTGTCCACGTGAAGAGATTACTAATAGTATTTTTGCCCAACTAACATTAACTTGATCGATCTGGCGCAGTGTGGATGCACTAGTACAGAATATCCCGCTCTCATATTGATATCTATATCTAAAGGAAGCTATACAAGTCTCATGTTCGTACATTGTTTCAAAATGGCGCTGAATAATACGAAGACAGATTGCCCTAATCAACGCCGGTAAACGGTAAACTCCAAGCACAGGAACACGAGGTATGTAACCAGGAGCACTACACCTGCACTCCTCCCAAGTCCTAAAAAGATGACAGCACAGAATACCAGAGAGGACAGCCAGACTGCCACCAGCTCAAAAAGCACAAAATTATCTGCCTCTTGTGCCGGGTACCCTGCCACAGCAACGACACCAACACAGAGCGTCAGCAGGAAAATGTTGCTTCCTGCCGTCGTCGCGGCCATAATGCCACCGTGGCCGCGGGAACCACTAAGGATTGCTACCAGTTTTTCTGGCAGAGTAGTAGCAAAGGAGACAACAGTCAGACCGAAGACGGTTCCCGAGAGATGCAGGGAGTCGGCGATGGTGACGGCACTGTGGGAGAGGATATATCCCGACAGTGAAAGCGAGATGAATCCGAGAATGAGCTGGAATATGTGGTAAGGAAAGCTTCTGCATCGTCTGCTCCCTTTGTCTGTTGATGACGGCGCATGATCATTCGCGATGAGAGGAGAGGTCTCGGAGAGAGGGGCGTGGTTGGCGAATTCGTCGTCCTCGCTATCACTGGATTCTCCGTCGCTATCACTGTCTGATAGTTCTGGGGGTGAGGCTACACCCTTATATATAGCGTAGATGATAGAGACGATGTAGAGGGCAAAAATAGCAATCAAGACCCCACCGACGATATGGTTTAATTGGTTGAAGAATGCCAGCATCACGAAGAGCGTCGTAACTATGAACAGCAGGGCCGAGTATAACTTTGCGCTACGGTCAAACTCCAGACCCCGGGGGTAAAAGAGTAGCCCTAAAGAAAAGGCGCCGAGGATGTTGGAGATAGTCGAGCCCATGACGTTCCCCAGGGCCAGGGGGCTGCGACGCTGCAGAATGGCGGCAACCACCACGGCGAGCTAATGAGGGATTAGCCAGGAGAGATATTGGATCGAATTGCATTGAATTGCAGACTTCTTCCCATTCAGCACCAGCAGTCAAGAGAGCAATAACAGTCTGCGAGATGCCTAGGCGTCGCCCGACAATGACGGTGTGGTCGATGAATTTATCCGCGCCATAGTCAAGAACAAACACACCTGCAATCAAAGTGGCAACATTAAAACACAGAGCGTCCCAATCCATTGTTGTCTTTGAGTGTATTTCACGTATGTCCGGGGCAATGGAAATGGCGGGTACTAGAGGAAAAAATTAAATACGTCTTGAAAATCAAGTCCCGGAAATCGAACTTTGGCGCCTCCTCGACCGCCTCCATAATAACTGGGTTGAATTTCTCAGGAAGGTGCCCAGAGTCAGAACACAGGTGGGTTCATTATATGACTAATCCCGGCGGATATATAGTATCTCCCTTCTCCGGGTATCCACCTATTCTGCTGTTCCTACACTGACCAAATTCTTGACTTCAGCATTGCCTGCATTCTCGCGCTTCTTAGCAGAGATGCAGCCAAAATCGAACACTCGTTGTCCGTTCCTTTCGCAGATTCATTACAACCGCGCCATACGGGCAGCCTAACACCACGAACGGCTACGAGGCCACGGCCGGCACCCACGAGGCTCCATGTTCGTTTAAGAAGTGGTATAGGACACATGTACGCACATTGATGTATAGTTTCTGTATGCTACATATCGCCCAAGGCGAGTGGTCAGATTAAATGAAATCATCCATTCATCCATACTGTGCACGGTAGGTCTTTACCAGCACACATGTCAACGCCCTGGAAGATATTCGCAGGATAACTTGCGACCGGGGAACAGAGAGCAATAGGTCAAACAAACAGATTTCGAATTGAGACCGATATTGATTAGTTACGTGTTTAAGGCAATGACGACAACTCGGGCGGTCATCTGAGCGTCTTTTTCTGGTCCACCTCGTTCAGAGCAGGACGACGAGGTTCCCGCATGAGGTCGCATGCCTTCCGAGTAAGTCCAATGGTCACGGAGGAGGTCGAGGCGAATAACGATTCCTTTTGGTCGGAAAAATTAATCATTCCAATCTGAAATGTGGCGTGCGAGTATTTCACCTCGGTCCCGGCCAGGTCAGCGATCAGGCTTCGTTGCTGTTGAGCTGTTCGAGAAACATAGAATGCTGGCACTGCGCCGAGAATACCAACAACCACTCCCCAGTAGCAAGAGCATCAGGGGGAGTGGTTGTTGGTATCGAGGGAATATTATATATACTAGGTTTTTATCAAAGTTGTTTATTCAACAGAGGCTTTCTTGTATCCAAACTATATAAACTCTCATCAGGCCCTAACTCCTTGCTCAGTATCTCTTATCAATAACCCTCTTCAAGAGGGCCAGTTGAAATGTTTCATGGCCTGAAGTATACCAATTTTATATAACTTTCTTCAGGCTCAGGCTACGCTGTACAGTAGCAGTAATTACTCTAGCAGTCATCTCCGGCCTCAGACAACAAACTTAGTACATAATCAACAACAGATTTTCCTTGGCCAGGATGCACGCCATGTTTTGGTTCTTTTGCTTCGGCCCCTGACAAGGAAACACCGGAAATCTCTCCCAAGTACCCACGCGGCCGCATCCCCACTTGCCGTGTCTCTAATTCCTACCCAATCAACCCGTTAGGCATTGCCGTTCTCCTTTCTAGTGCACAAAGCCCAGGCCCCAACCTGTTTTTGATTTGTGCTTAACCCAAGTGGGAACATTCTAGATGCTAGCATTGACATGGTGGCTAATGAAGTATCATTATCGAGCTCATTGCTCAGGATGCTCTTGAAACTTCTTACCGGTGAAAAGGTGTTATATTGGACCAACAGTCTGTGCTTTTTGCGAAAATCTTTCAAAGTTACCATGTAGCACAGCAACGCCCCTTTGAAAAATCAAAAGATAGCAGTTATTGAAGCGCTTCCATAGCTTCAATATCAATCCTATCTATCATTTGAGGCGCAGCTTGCTACTTACAAGGCTGCAACCTTCTTCCACCGCTTATAATATGCCAAATTATTCCACACCCCGCACACAAAGGCCCTCAGGATCAGATATGTGGCTCCTAAACATCTCGGTTTCACCATTCCCCGATCCCACTGCTTCTTGATCTCCCGTCCGAACAGTGACGAGCCCAGCTCCTGTCCTGTAATGCGGATTGCATCCTCTCCGTTGGTGATAACGTAATATACTGGGCCGGAACTATCAATATATATTGAGTACGGACTGTCCATAGCTTGCCAGCGAAGCCGTGCTAGAAGCCGTCGAATGACTGCCTTTATGACTCGCCATCCGTGCCCATACTCGAGGAGACCGACGATGCCCGCGTGAAAGGCGAGAAGTTCTTCGAATGAGACAAGCATCTGCTCAGTGGGCGTGCCGACGTGGTAGACCCCTGCGGATTCGAATTGGATGGAAAAGGCCTGGGCGTCTCAGCGTCGTTAGCATCGTCATAATAACGGAATCATAGTATCTCATAACGGGGAAGAAGATTTCCAGGGCCAGGAGAGTAATTACCATATTGTAGACGTGGTATGGGTGGTGCGATGAAGTAGTAGTACATTATGGATAGGATGCAGTGTTCCAGCAGAGGCTGCTCTGGGTCTGAAACAGATGTTATAAGCATATCAAATCTTGGGCGAGATGGGTTTGATTGAGCCATACCTCATCGATCCTACCCTGAGCTCTCGTGGGCACTCTGACTTCATCTAATTAAAACCCGCTATTGGTCTACCCCTATTGAAGAGTGGGGGGTTTGATACTCCTACGAGATGGCTCGGAAAGTTTATTTTGTAGAGTATCTCACTGCTTAATACATCCTTCAGAAGGGATATGAAGAAGCCCTGAAGACGATCAAAAAATTACGTCGTTCTTGGTTATGATTTAGTGAACTTCGTTACTCGGCGACCATCAAAGCTAAACGGCTATTATAAATGTGGCAAAAGGGCTTTTCTACAATAAAACATTCTACGACCCAACGAACACTTTCTATAACACCATATGAAGGACACTAGTTATTAGACCCACCAACCGTTGCTGCCCAACTTGAAGAAGCTTAGACCAGGAGGATCATCAATTAGGGAAAAGTATACGAAACGTGTAGGCATGGACTTTAATATATCCTCCTGTTCAATATTCTGCAACAAAATTACTCTACTCATAGTTTGCAGCGTAATCATGCCAATCTCACTATCTTTCGAAGCTTGGTGTACCCTTTCCTCCGCACGGAAAGTCTGGGGTCGGGTCCGCTTTCCGTGCCTCCACATCGGATGAGGCACTTACGTAGCCAAGCAACTAGTAGTATTCTGCAAGCACAGTATCGTTACTACCAAGGCGATACACCTGAGAGCATTCCGAAAAGCGTTCATCTGTGGACAATGTGGGGAATATCGGAATGTGGGCATTGGCGGTTTGTGATCTTCTGGACTCTTCGTCAGACTATCCTGGTTGCTTTGTGAGTTAATCGTTGCCGGGTTTTCATTAATATATTGAGCTATTTATTTGACAGCTTGCCACAGCAGTTCCGTCAGCGTTTCAGTGTAGCAGTAGCCGTCTCTTTTCTAGCCTACTTATCTCGGCTTGTAACTACTTAAGAATTATGATCAGAGCAACCATGAAGTCATTGTTCCTATCTACAGTGGCAAGCCTCGTCTTCGCAGTGGGAGCGTCCTCGATGCTTGCCGCCTCGTCGATTGACCAGCACGCTTCAGATTTATTGAAGGGTGATTGTGACCGAGAGTGCATGGCATTTATCGTGGATCAGGTTCTGGCTTCCATGGTAGTGCACAACCCATACATTTTGCCGATGGCTGCAATATATCAGGCTACGGAAAACTCGCACCCCGCAGCGCTCGGGATGATGACCGCCTGGCGAACTGTCACAGAAGCCGGGCCACCCAGTTTGCTCGCAATTGATACCACACAAGGGTCGGCTTATTTTGCCCTGGACGTCAGCGAAGGCAGCGACACGGAAAGGTCCATCCTCAGAGGCCGAGTCAAGGTCGTCAACCAGGAGATCACCGAGTTGGAACTATTCATCAATCGCTACCGCGGGGACCACGGCTTCTCCTTCTCAGCAGCCGAGCTTCCCAGCAATTATGAGGCCTTGATGTCACCGCCAGATAATCGGACGAAGGCGAGTCGGGCAGCGTTGACAGCTCTGAGTGAGGCCTTGTTTGCTACTTCGAGTAATATGTCCGTAAGGGTCGACGCCAACTGCCAGTTTACCGAAATTGGCTGGAAGGTCATCGATACGGGAACATACAACAATGAAACAGCCACCCCGCTCAGTTGCAGCTGGCCTTCAGATCATCCAACGGATGAGAATGCGCGTGTCGGTTTAGTCATTGATGAAGAGTTGGGCTTTGTTGTAACTAGCGGCATGATCCAGGGCAAGGTCTACCCTTACCAAAACGTCTCGGCCTTCATCCCGGACGCCATGACTTCCTCGCAGGAGGCCCAAAATGTGTGGTTGAACGAGGTGAAAGCACGGGGTGTCAAAGGGCTTCTGGCTCCCACTGAGGCAACGGGGGAGACCCTTGAGGTGCTGCAATACTACAACGATGCGCTCCAAGCCATGCAGATTAATGTGTACATGAGCGGTCCAAATATGACATCGGCCTGGCTATAGTCTATTTCATGGTATGAGGGAACATTGATCATGACCAGCATACCGAGGTATGTGAGGGAGCTGATCCGGGATTATATTTTATATTTGTTTGCTAGCTGAGCTAAGTATTTAGTCGACGCGAGGTATGGTGTCTAATGTCGTCGGGGTCATTTTCAGCTCACATTCGCTTTCCTTTAGCTTTGGTACTTAGGGACGTAATCAGTCACCGACCAGGCGCGGGCCCTTGATCCCTTTACCAAGTTGAGCACAGTATATCAATCTCTAGCTTCCGGTCATCGTGAAAGTCAATAGACGCACTGGGGGCGCTTTGTGGGGCCTGATCTCGTAAGTTTGCCCCCTCAATCCTTCTGCAAGACACGCACCATCCTCCACAGAACTCCTTCCTATTCTTCCAGGACTTCTTTTACTTGCTTTGGGAGGTAATAGTTTCTCGCCAGGCCAGGCCAAAGAGACCCATCTAATCTGACTAACCCAAGATTCATGGCCGGACACCCTGTGCTCTGGTTCCGTAAGGTTTGACGCCAAAGGTCCACAAGGCTTTTGGCACGGAGAGCGTGGTCTTTCGTGGGCGCTTGTACAAGCAGTAGCAGTAGGAAATTAGAGACAGTCGCAAATCCCACACGGGACCCTAGCTCGGTCAGTATATCGGCAGCCTAATGAGTGAGTTTTGCACAGACGTTACCCAAAAGGGACGAGACATACATCTATACCAGAAGCTCGACAAGTCACTGGTAGTCATACGCATCACCAGACGAATTACTTTGGCCGCGCAATTATCGGCTGCGCGGAGCACCGCATTTCCCATGCCATTCTCATCGGACATGTCAATGGCCATGGACGGCTCGATCTCTTCGGCGTCGAACAACTGAGCCAGGAGGTCGTTGAATTGGTTCGTAAATTCCGTTGTCTCGAAGTTCTCCTCGAGCAACGGGGGCGGCGCGGCAGAGCGAACCATTGGCCGCAGGAGGGCGCGGAACACAAATACCTCCAGAAGGATGCAGGCAAAACGGAGGCAGTTTGACTGGCAGTATATGCTGTCCAGAGTAGTGGGCTGATGATCGGGCTGACGTACCGATACTGGGGAGTGCGCGTACCACTCCTTGAGCTTCTGTAAAAGAGGACGGGCAATTTCCAGCGTTGCATGAAAATCCGGCGATAATCGCTGCGACGCCTTTAGTGTGCTATGGGGCCAGGGGTTAGTCAGTATAGCATGATTAAACATTAGTGAGACGCTACTGCCACACCAGCTAGGCTTCCTCCACACCAACCTTCACTAATGCCACACCCTCCGCCTACCTTATAAGGTAAGATCCCATCCATTTAAGCTGATGCTTGGTTTCTATTACAGACAGAACCATACTGCCTTTCACCTTTGGAACCTATATTTGGGGCAGGATTCCAGCAGCTCAGGCAAGTAAACTACCGAAACGGGACGGCGGTAAGAAATACCAAAGAGACTATACCCTAAAGGGAGCGGGTTTTGCCTTCTTAGGTAGGCGGAGGGTGTGGCATGATCGAAGGCTGGTGTGGAGGAAGCCTAGCTGGTGTGGCAGTAGTGTCTCCCTTACATTAAAATCGTAGTTGGGAGACCTACAAAATGGAGCGTTGTAATTCATCAGCGATGCGCGACAACTGAATGAGTTGCTGGAATGGTTGAGCAGTGAGAACGTCGTGTGAAGAGTGCGAGGAGGACGCAGGTTGCTGCAGGGCCAGGCGCAGACACTCGGACATCATGAAATCATCATCGCTCAGATCTGTGGCGTCCCAATCGTCGCTTCCTATGTAAGACGGACGCCCAATAAGCAAGCAACGCCACTTGTCTTCGGCGTAGATGGCCCACCAGAGGCGACGACGAATCCTCTTTTCCCATAATGGAAGTCCCATGAGCCGACAATCCAACTGAAGCCCAAGCGACATGGCAACGCCGACAAGCATGCCCACCAAGGACCAGGTGAAGGCACTATCAGCCACAGCACTTTCGGTGGCGCTGATCGGTCGGTGAAGGTAGAGAATTCCTGCTTGAAGCGTCGAAAGACGGGCAGTGTGGATGTCCCGTAGCAGCAGGTCAAGAACCATGCGCCAGAGCAGATCAGTCGGGGGAGGAGCGTACGCATCAATCAAGCATAGATAGTCATCAAACTTGGCGAATGGTTGTGCTGATGCGTAGATTGCAGCCAAAAGACACAAGGGTGTCCTTTGAAGGATATCCTGGTCGGGCACCGTACCTGCTGCTGCAAGCCCAAAATGTGACCGCGAAATGATCGGCAGCGTCGGAAAAATAAACTTCATGAAGCTGCAGGAGATGGCATATCATGTCAGCCACAGAGCGCATCAACGGTGGTATTCTTGTCAGCTTACAGCACTACCAATCTCTGGCCACATTCGGGGGGTACAATGTGGTTCAATTGCTCATGTGTATTCAGTGGGTCTGGCGGTAGCAGCTGAGCCTTGGAAGACTCATAGAGCTGATCCGACGAGACCAAAAAATGGCAGGGGATCTTCTCGTCAAACGGAACGCCCCCTGCGTTCCGGAAGTGCACTTGGTGGAAGGAGAGGAAGCCTCTGTCGTTGAATTTGCAGTGTCTGAGAAGCCACGGGTCAGATTCGGCTGACGCGCCATTGACCTGGTAGGATACACCAGCCAAACCATCAAGTGTTTGGATGGTCTGATGCGTGTGTCTTTCTTTGAAGGCAGAAGGCGTGTGCGGGCATGTGCCGCCTGGATCTGCAGAGATTCTCACCGTGTCTAGCTCGAAGAAAGGGATATCGACTGCTTGATGCGCAACTGGGGGATCTTCTTGGTCCACCACCAGATCCTCGGTCGCTTGCAAGTTGTTTGTTGCGACCGGTCGGGTTTCTGGTGAAGGTGGTTTCGGCGGCACAGTGCCCT